ATCAGACATGCATGAAACTGAATTTCGTGGAACGTCACAGTGCAAGAAGTGAAACCTGAGTCTGTGTTCTTTTTTTTCTAGAGTCCCAGCACAACACCAGACATTCCCAAGATGTCAGAGAATCACAGGACAGGTAATGTTAGCACTCTGTTATTTTGGTTCAGCAGACATTAATACAACCTACAGATTTACCTTCAATATGACATTGTCACTAAGTATTCCACATACATGTATCAAGTACTTAGTAATACTTAGTCTGGTTATTATCAAGAAATAATATTTTTCTATAGTTGCTCAGTCTTTGAACATTCATGTGTGTTACTTTAAGAAAAATTCAGAGTTCCAGTGTTATTTAATTAAAACAGTATGTCACAATTTAGAAAGATCTTACCTTTTACGGTAGAGATCCAGAAGTATGTTTACCAAATGCAGACTTAACTCAATCTGTTGTTCCTGTCCAAAAGACTTGTGGAGGTGTAATAGGGCGGTTAGAATCATGTTGAAGGAGTGTTTCCCTGTTTGGCTTTGTGGTGACTTAGAAGTAGATAGGTTGACTTTTGTTTTAGATCTATATCATAGTCTCTCAATGTAGTTTGTAGCAGTATGTAATGAGTAAGATGCATTCAATCTATTTATTATTGTTTAAGCCCTGTCCAAGCTCTTCAGTTGGAGTATTTGTTTGTTTGTTTGTTTGTTTTGTTGATTGCATGCGTCGGGCTGTCTGTTTTGTACAGCTGACTCACCTGAACCTCCGGTGACACCTGCCGACACAGAACCACCCCCTAAACCTCCCCGTACAGGTGCTCTATCTTTTCCTCTACCTCTTCATTTCTGCACAAGCACAGACTCTTCAAGCACCTTGAGAAACATAGGATACATAATGTTATCATGATAAATTTACCACATTTATGCACTGTAAACAGCACATTATTGTATAGTCATGTAATTCAGCTTTGCTCTCGTAGATTATGATAGAGTGAGAGATTTCTCTAGACTAGTCTTTTCCCAGGGCGGGTACTGGAGTTGCTGTATTGGCTTGAATCTCCTGAAATTAAATGCATTAATCTTTCTAATCAAAACAAAACATCTGAGCAATACTCCCAGTCAATCAATCGCTCACTGAAGTGAAAACAAGATAATGCCAAGGATCAACAGACAAGTGATTGGGCAATTTTTTTTGCAAACAATGTTTGTCAGATGAATGGATTGAAAAGACTGAAAACTGCTTTGATAATTCAGTGTTTATTAACTGTTTTGGCTGTTCAGCACACACGTCAGGGCTGCCCAACTAGCTTGTGGCTATTGCAAAGGGCAAGCCCTGCTGACAAGACATGACATTACAATGGAGTTTGACATGGACGTGTAGCATAACAGTGTTTGGCAACATGTTGCTCTTTCAGGGAATTATAACTCTCCAAGAACCTCAGTGTCTCAGGATGAGACAGAAAATGGTGACCCTCCCGCAGTTGTTTCTCCCGTCACAGAAACTGTTGACATAACCATAACTGTAGCAGACACAGGTGACACGCCTACAGCTTTAACCCCCAAAACAGATGACACACCTACATCGGAAGCACCTGTTTTGGGCGCAGGTGGCACACCTGTAGCTGTAATACCTGAGAAGCTGACAGGTGATATTCCTGTAGTAGAATCACTTGGCACAGAATCAGGTGACACAACACCCAAAGCTGAAGCACCTGACATAACAGCAGCTGTAGCACCTGCATCAGAAATGCCTGGCGCAGCTGCAGTTGATGCATCCACAGCTGCAGAGCTTGGCAATAAAATGGCTGACACACCCACAGATATGGCATCCACATCCACTGTAGAAGCAGATGGCACAGAAACAGCTATAGCACCTGGCAGCACCACAGCTGTAGCACCTGACAGCACCACAGCTGTTGCACCTGACAACATCACAGCTGTAGCACCTGGCAGCACCACAGCTGTAGTACCTGGCAGCACCACACCTGTAGCACCTGACAGCACCACAGCTATAGCACCTGGCAGCACCACAGCTGTAGCACCTGGCAGCACCACAGCTGTAGCACCTGGCAGCACCACAGCTGTAGTACCTGGCAGCACCACACCTGTAGCACCTGACAGCACCACAGCTGTAGCACCTGACAGCACCACAGCTGTTGCACCTGACAACATCACAGCTGGCATACAGATAACTGCAGCAGCTGATGTTGAAGCTAGTGACACGACTGCAGCTACAGCACCTAGCACAGACTCTGAGGCAAATTTCACACCTGCAGCTGACCACCTGCAAGAGCCCTCAGGTGCTAACATGTTCAGTGTTCTCTGCCACCTAATCAAAAAACCAAATAAACAACATTTGCATCGCATTTCATCTTTGATTGACTGCCAAATCATGTGATTAAAAACTGTTTTATGTTAGTTTTCTTTGATCATATGAAGACAAATTTTTCAACATTAAACTAGTTTTCCCTAAACCCTGATCAGACCTTGTAGGGCACCAAACTGAAAGTGATGAAGTTGTCAAGACAGCAGCTACTGAGAATGAGGTTCCACCAGTTGCTGTTGCACCTGACTCTCCAGCTGATACAGCTGCAGCTGAACCTGTCCCTACACAGTCAGTTCTATGTGAAGAAGAAGTCCAAATGTCCCCCGAACCTACATCAGACCAGGTGGCACAAGGTGCTGAATTCTCACCTGCTAACAGTGCAATCCAATCAATAAAAGACTTCCCTGGCTGCTGCCCCATCAAACTTCTTGAATGGAGCAGATGTAACAAATCTACTAATTCTTTGTAGAAACAAGACAACTAGATGCAACAAAGAAAATGATTTGATTAACATTAGCTCACCAGAAATAAAGACATCACCATAGTTTTAGGCCACAGACTCAAATGATGACAGATAAAACACTGGATGAACACTTCAACTTTTCACAGATTTGCTTTGATTTTAACCATGGGCACATACTGTACACTTCAAGCACTGTTCCTTTTATATCTAATTTCACTTTCTTTCCCTCTAATCATGAGATTCAATATTTTTGCATACAAAAACTTCGTGATTACAACAGTGAGGTTTTGACCCTATCAAAATGGTCAGGGTGACATGACAAATACTAAACCTGTCCCTCTCACACAGATGCTTTTGTCCCAACTCTCACACCGACCCGAGAGGAGGGGCCACTCCTGGAGGAACAAGTTGTGGAGTTCTGTCCTCCCGTAGAAATAGAGGCCTCAGTGGAGATGCCTGTAGTAGCCTCACATGAGGGACCAGTAGCCAGTACTGATGCTAGTAGTGTTGAGGTTGTGGAAGGTGAAAATGGTCTCAGTTTAACACTTCCTTGCTGGCACCCCTCTATGTTAGCCTCTACCAAGCTTAAAAGGCAGTTCAAATTAGCCAGATAGACATATATCATGCCAGAGGAGTTGGTCTGCTCCCTTCAAACTGTACTTCTTTAGCAGACCAGCTTCCCTGGCATGTTATCTGTCTATTTAGCAAATTTCTAGTCTCCTCTCTTTCCAGCTGCCTGTGAAGCCTGGTAGAGGCTAATCTCCGTCACGCTCGGCTGTTAATGCATGTCCAAAAGTACCGTCATGGAGAAAGGAACATCAATCACTTAAACCTGCTTTCTCTCTCCTTGGTGCTGAAAGGTGAATCACTGTGCTGATTGCAAGGATGGATGCTCTTGCTCAACACAAGACAATCTTATCTTTCTAAATACTGCAGTTTCTCTTAAGCACAACACATTGTACACAAGAAAATAGTTACTAAAACAATGGATAGATTTTGAAACTCTATCCAGTTGCTTGAGTAACTATTTTCTTTTGTATCTCATGTCTAACCTTTATCTATACATCCTGATATATTTCTAAGAATAAAGTCAGCTGATGTGTGCTCTGCAACATGAATGAATGAATACTGGTAGTATCACATTATGCACATGCAGCTTCCTAATAAATGCACCTTTTCCACTTTCTGGGACAGTAGAGCGAGCTTTAACAAAATATGATATTGGAGGCAAATGTTCCTGATCATGAGTGTGTCTTGCTTGTGTTGTTACAGACAGCCTAGGTAAGTCTGAAGAGGCAGGACAGAATGATGAAGGAGTGGTTGAGGATGAAGCAGGGGGAGGACAGGAGGAGGAGGCGGCTGAAGACTCAGGGGCATCCTCGTCTGGTAGGGAGTTCTATAGTCATTCTTAAGTCCTGAAGATGCTACAATTGTTTATTTAATGCTTTCCACAAAATCATCATGAGTAAGTGGAATTTTTTATCCTTAATCTGTAACCACTGTAAGCAGTGTTACAGTAAGTACATAAACATTTTTTCACACATGCTGTTTAGAGCCAGTACAGTAGCTGTATGGTGTTTGTAGATGTGACAGCCTGTACCTGCAGAGCTACAGTAGTGAAGAAAATATGAGAGTTAGTCCCATGTGTGTGTTGCCCTGAGTTGCCTTTCCATAGACCATTCCAGTGTTGTCCATCCCATATTACTGTTACTGTAGTAGTTGCCAAGATGACTATCAGTGTTCAGAGAGAGCCCTCAACTATGCATTTGGTTCAGTCTTGGAAAAAGTTGACAAGCAATAACCACGATCGTCGCCCCCTGGTGGGTGCTTCAGGTGCTGCAGGCAGTGCAGATATGGCCACAGATGAAGACACGGGGGAGGCAATAGCCCAGAGACTATTGGCTGTTGTTGCACAGCAAGAACGCACAGCTGTAGGGGGAGGTAACAACAACACATCCTGACAAGTTTGCCAATCACCTCTCTTAACACCCTCCTCCCACTTCCCAAAATTATGAACACTGCCCTCAGACCAGGAAGCATGCATAAAAAAACTCCACTCACACCATTGTTACTGACCTCCAAATCTCACATAGGTGCAGAAGACATTTGCAGTAGCTAGGCAGATAACCAGACTAGTTGTATAAAAACAAAAACAAAATACTTTCAATGCATGTCATAAGCACAAAACATAGAATATGCATATTGCTGCATCGTGGCAGTGCATAAGATATTCCTATTTCAACTAATTTTGACACTCTACCCCTTGCAAGTGACTTCGTATTGGGTCAATTCAATTCTCACTCCAACTGCAAATCACAAAAGGTTTGGATGTAAAGGTCATGACATAATATAATGTACACACTTGAATGTCCTTAGTTAAAATTAAAGATTGTTATATTAATAACACCTGTTAGGGAAGACATGGTTTATTGTGTAGAATGTCTTACCATTTTGGAGTAGAGGGGGTATCAAGCAATTATGCAGTGTCTCAGGTCATTGCTAGTACATGTACCTGGTCTTGTGTACCCCATGTCCTTTGTACAGAATGAAAAAGTCCTTCTGTAGTATTAGCTTCTTTGTGTTTTTGTGTGATGCTGTTACTAATATTTTATCTTTTTTGTGTGTGTTCTTTAACCCATATTTTTCTGTGTTGTTTGTATTCTGTATTTCCTTGTGCCGAGTTCTTAAGAGTGTTCAATCCTTTGTGTCGTGAAACATTGTCTTTGACAAGGACAGAAATTTCATCAGCCTATAATCTCAATAGTTTCTGCAAGTACACAGTAGGTTAGGTCCCAGACAAATGATGGAAAAATAAGATAATCAAAAGGTTCTGTACACAATCAAGAAATTTTATCTGTACAGAATATCACACTACACATGTCTGATACAGACTGTCCCTGTATACAGTATCTATGTGCAACAATGGTTGTGTCCTTTATCTGCAGGTGAGGAGCCCACAGCAGACTCACCCCCTCCCTCAGACCTGCCTGATCAGCCCACCCCAGCCTCTCCTGGAGCCGAGGACGGCCAGGAACCTCCAGATGATGACGAGCTCATCACCCCGAAATCACCGACCCGGGGGCCGCCCGACCCACTGGGGGCACAGCTTGTGGAGGAGATGAAGAGGAAACAGTCGGTCAAGAAGCAAGACTCGTTCGAAGAAGAGGTACCCCCACCTGAAGAGCCAGAACAAGGAGAAGAAACGGTCGCTGCAGAAAATGAGGTCGCCCCAGCGGAAGAGCCAGACCCGACACCAGATCTAGACCTCGAAACCAGCCAGCCAGAGGAGCAGCATGAAGATGCCCTGCAGGAAGATTCCCATGGTGCCGTGCAGCAGCCAGAGGAGGAAGAGGAGGAGGAGGCTGAGGAGGATTATGAACAGCCAGAGAAGGACCTCCCGGAAACCCCCCAGGAGACCACCTCTTCGGAAGATGAAGCTCCACCTGCAGAGGAAGAACCTCCAGAAGAAGAAGAGGAGCCTGAGAAGGAAACAGAAAAGCAGAACGGTCCTGTCGAAGATGAAACAGCTCCCTCTGAAGAAGAACAGAAGGAAGAACAACAGGTTGTAGCAGAGCCCAAGAACGAACCTGTCCGGCCAAAGCGTCTAAGCGTTGCAGAAACAAGGCAAATGTTTGCAAAGTCAGAGCCCCCGCCATCACCTGAAACTGAGACTATCACAAGGCCAAAACTCAAGCCAGTTCCACCTAAAGCTGAGCCAACTCCGAGCAGCTCTCAGCCCACAAAGCCAGCATCCGCTGCACCAAAGGAGACCATAGTGGTGAAGAAGCCTTCTGCCCCTGTGATGCCAACCCCACTGTCACCTACTGCTACTGTTAGGTTAGTTGTAATGGCACTGTGCACACAAGGACCTTTAAGGGTTAGGGATCTTTAAGTTCTAGAAGTAAAAATACAATTTAGACTTAAAGCTGAAGATAATAGAATAAATGTTCAAAACATGAAAACAACAGTTACAGTAACAGACTTTTCATATTAAATTATATATGTAGGAATGGGTGAAAGGGAAGTGTTTCAATTACAGACTATTTATTCAGAACCTAGAACAATTCTTGTGTTCCAATTCCGTTTGTGTTCTTTTCTTTTTTCTAATTTATTCAGTACTTACTAAAACTCTTTGTATTATAACATAATTTATGTTATTTCAGGTCCCTCGCAGACAAGCCCCAGCCCAAGAAGGTTTTTGGTGCCATCAAGGCACTGGAAGACCAGGGTGATGACAAGGTCCCGGCCTGGGTAAGGATAGCTCAGAAAAAACAGAAGGAACGAGAAGGCAAGGATGAGGACGACACGGTCGGGGGGAAGAAGGTGGTGGTGAGTGTAATACTTTCAGCACAACTTTAGTGTCCTTGTACATGTATTTCTTACACTGTACAAAATCTAAACTTGTCCTTTCAACTGAACAGAATCTAAACTAGGCTTGTAACCTTTCTCTTTGTAATCTTCATGGTCACCAGTACCGGTAACTCACTACTAAGACACTTTATTAATATTTCAAGTCACCAATTTAGAACACATCATCTCTATAGCCTGGATATTAGCCTTCTTCAGCACTCTGTCCACTTCATAGATCCTGTATAGCCAACCTGTTGAGCAGACTAAAACTTAACACTAGCTGGTATCCAGGCTACCTTAACGTTCTTCCTGCTGCCATACTGGTAACTAGTACCTCAGCAGGGAGAAGGTTAAGGTTTCACCCAAAGTCACACCTAGATAAAAGCACTGTTAGCTGATGGTGTAGTGTTAAGCCCCTGTCACACATTCAGAACCTTCCCCCAACCACCAACCAACCAAACTTGACTGAAGTTCAGGAGCAGTCTGACCAGATTTAGGCCATGCCAACCTTTTGCAAAAATCACATCAGACCTGTTCCCAATCACCAGCCAAATAGTCCCCAACCATGGCCCAACCTCTTGTCCACTCCCAAACCTTGCAAATGTTTTGAAACATTCGGCTGGTGCAGGCAACCACAGCCGACCTTGCTCCCAACCTACTCCAAACCATTTCTGGGTGAGTTGGGCAGTGTTCGGGACGCCATCTATGTGTGACAGGGACTGTAGTCAGTTGTCCACTGATGTAAGCCTAAAGTGTTATGGTTAAGATTGTTACATGCTGTGACAGGTGGTTGAGAAGACTCCCCCTGCCACATCATCCAACCCGTCACCGCCCAAGTCCCCCGTCCGCAAACCGTCCACCAGCGCGGTGCCTCCCAAAGTGTTGGTCAGTCCTCAGAAGGCCCTTGTCATACAGTACACTGTAGTAAAGTAGCTAATGCTGTTACAGGATAATTTTCCAACAATATTGTTCTTACTTTCTTTCTAATCTCCTTGCTTTGTCTCTTCTGATGCTCTAACAGGCTTAAAATGCTTGCTCATTTGCTTAATGCCAATAATCTTGCCAAATATATTATATAATCATCAAAGATAAGTAAAGATTTTTCTTGTTTTCAAGTCAAATTTTATAGCATGAATCACATTTCATGCTATTAGGACAGTCTTTCACCACACCATATGTTAACGTACTGTATCAAAATCACAGCAATATTAAAACTTACTTGTCAGATGCAAATAAGAATCATGTTTTATGATTAATTTTTTTTCATATCAAGTAGTGATTTGATGATTGTCAGTAGTTTTGGTAATGGTACTAGTATTCAATACCAGGTAAATTTGATCTAGTATTGTATAATGCAGTAGTTATTCTAGTAGGCATCAACTTTCAAATTTGTTCCATTCCACTGATAGTGTCAGACTTTGCTGATATTTAACTGTACAGTTCAGGCTTCTGTTTGACTTTTTCCACCCTTTTGATGACCTTACACAGGTTGTAGAAAAGACTGGATCAGTCACAGCCAAGCCGTCAGCATCCAGACCGTCTGTGAGTGGCCCCTCCAAGCCCTTCTCCAAGCCAGCTGACCCCCCCACCCCTGTCATCATACCAGCAGCAAAGTCCCCAGCTGAGCAGCCCAAACCCCCCAAATCCCCCTCAAAACAAGCCGAGTCCAAACCCACTGGCAGTATGTCCCCACCCCCCGCCAAGTCTGGTGACATGATGGCCAACAACAACAAGCTGAACCGAGCCGGACAGTTCCTGTCTCGGCAGCAGAAAAAGAACTTCATCCTGCCCAAGCCTGAGAAGTGCATCGTGTGTAACGAAAATGTGTACCAGGTGAGAAAACTTAGAGCCAAGTCTTTGGAGATAGTTATGAATAATCTAGTGGTACGCATTGTTCAACATTGATTGATTACTGGATTTCCAGCAGAATGCGACAGGGACAGGGATGGCAGTGTTAGTGTGAATTTCATTCAGCACCAGGGACAGGGATGGCAGTGTCAGTGTGAATGTCATTCAGCACCAGGGACAGGGATGGCAGTGTCAGTGTGAATATCATTCAGCACCAGGGACAGGGATGGCAGTGTTAGTGTGAATGTCATTCAGCACCAGGGACAGGGATGGCAGTGTCAGTGTGAATGTCATTCAGCACCAGGGACAGGGATGGCAGTGTTAGTGTGAATGTCATTCAGGGACAGGGATGGCAGTGTCAGTGTGAATGTCATTCAGCACCAGGGACAGGGATGGCAGTGTCAGTGTGAATGTCATTCAGCACCAGGGACAGGGATGGCAGTGTCAGTGTGAATGTCATTCAGGGTTCAGTAGTCTTTGCCTACATGTGCTTTTCATTGATTTTGTATCATATAACAAAGTTACATGTATGAGTATATAGCAATAACACTGAGTATCTTTTTTCATTTTTAAGCTTCAAGTAGTCACCATGTCAAAATCAAATGACAGCAGCAAAGCATCAAATGGTGTTTTATTCGTAAAAAAAAACGTGGACTTTGCAGCCAAAGGCTGAATTGCGTCCAGTTGTACATGCAAATTCATTACACATTTATTTACATTTATTTACACAGGCATTAACACAGGCATTATTTACAACGACTTTAACGTACGGTGTCTAACACAAATAGTGACTGTTCAGGAGGTAGGTCATGTATGGGACGCTACTCTGTTTGTACCGCTCAGTTCTACATTTGGTAAGGGTCAGTTTGTTACTGGAACGAGTGGTGCGCTCAGTGGTGGTGCCCCTCCTGGGCGGTAGCCAGTGTTGGAAGTCCTGTGATCTGAGAACTTTCATAGCAAAGTTCAGGCAAAGTTGGACCCTTCGGTCTTCTAGCGTAGGTAAGTCCAGCGTTGCACATGCCTCGGGGTATGAAGTATAAGCTGACCCGAGTATTACTCGACACGCGCGTTTCTGGATATACTCGATCCTGTGACGTTGTCTGGTAGTCAGTCCAGGATGCCAGGTGGGCGCCGCGTATTCACAGCTCGGACGGACAAACGTTTTGTAGCAGGTAAGTAAGTCATCCCTAGAAAGGTCAAACTGTTTGAGTTGTTTGAGGAGGAAGAGCTTCCTGCTACCTTGTTTGACAACGTGATCGACATGAGTATTCCAACCTAGGTCGGCCTGAAGGTGTAAACCAAGGAGTTTCACTGCCTTCACTTCTTCCAACAGTATACCAGCAATGGATAAAGACGGCAGTGGAGGGGGAGTTCTTGTGAAAAACACGTGCATAGCTTTGCACTTCCCTGGATGGAGCTGCATTTTCCTCGATGTTGCCCATTGCTCAAGATGGTTTAAGTCTGTCTGAATGGTTGAGGTCTCCCCGATCATTCTGCTCTCCGCAAGGTTAAGATCGTCAACGAACTTCCACCGCCTAGCGGAGGAGTTCTCGTTTGCACTGTTGATCAGAGCGAGAAATATCAGTGGGCCTAAAACAGTTCCTTGTGGAAGGCCACAAGTAGTCTCCCTCCAGTCAGAATACACCCCCTTGTACATTACTCTCTGTTGCCTGGCAGTGAGGAAGGAGCAAATCCATTTGGCGAGAGAGCTTCTTAGTCCCAGTTCGAGTAGACTTGAGACAGCTAGGCTGTGATCTACTCTATCGAAAGCCTTAGCAAAGTCAGTTGTTACCAAGGTAGTAACTGTCCTTCTCTTGTCTGAAGTTTTTGTCAGCTGGTTAACAACGTCGACAAGGCAGTGTGAATGTCATTCAGCACCAGGGACAGGGATGGCAGTGTTAGTGTGAATGTCATTGCTTTGAGTAGTCTTTGCCTACATGTACTTTTCATTGATTTTGTATCATATACATGTATGAGTATATAGCAATAACACTGAGTATTACTCGTTCATTTTTAAGCTTCAAGTAGTCACCATGTCAAAATCAAACCACAGCAGCAAAGCATGGTTAGAATATTGTAAAACTTGTTTATAGTTGTAGCAGAAACATTCACCATGAATTTTCAGTGGATCTCATCGACCTTTATCAGATGACTGATTTAGTCTCCCTGTTGTTTAACTGTTTCAGACTGAGATGGTCAAGTCAGATGGACGCTTCTTCCACAAGAAGTGCCAGCGCTGCCTGGTGTGCAAGCGCACTCTGGACATCAGCAGCTTCATGGTCATCCAGGAGAAAATCTACTGCAAACAGCACGGCCAGGAGGTCAAGCTGGCCCAGCAGGCAGTATAACTGTTCTGTCATCACGATCGTTCCATGTACAGCCCCTGTTTTCTCAATGGTACGTCCCTCAACCATGTAGCACTGACTGGTAGCTGTCAGATGTACCAATTATTCCAAATTTTAGCAGGGATGGTTGTATAGCAGTGGTGATATGCCTGGCTTGGGCATATATTTTGAAATAGGCTTAATAGGCTTTGTCCTGTACATTGCATACTGCCATTGCTTACAAGTAGAGGATGGCATATGTAATAATGCAAGAAAAATGAAAAGAAAGTTTTAAACGTGAGTCACTTTTCAGCATTGAAAAGTCTTGCACGTAATTTGTATAGCATGTATGAATTTTTTTCATTTGAAAGTTTGGGTACTTTAAGGGCATGCATGTACAGTTCAATTCATGAGTTTTTTCATGTACCAACTCTTGTTCAGTAGAACTTCATAGCATGACAACAGGACTGTTTTATTAATGGAAAGGTTTCATCATTTAATATGGAACCTTAACTTTCTATGATATCAGTATTTTGAAATGGTAATTGAGATTTATTCATTGCCAGCATTATGCTACCAAGAATGATATCAGACTAGTGCATTTGTGCTAGTGGCAGAGCAACTAAAGTAAATGTTACACAAGAACTATCCTAATCAACTGCCATGATGGTATATGGTTGTACATATTGTAATTTCCCCAAATAAAATGGGACCAAACAAGCACTGAAAACTTTCCCAGTGGCAGTGATTAGTAGTTTGTGTAGGGAATTCAGGATTTTGTCTCTAAAAAGGCAACATTGTGTCACATTTCTAGTCACAGTAACAAGTGAAAGATTTTAGAACTTGCTTTTCTTTTTGCCAATCTTAGCTGATAAAACTGTGCAATTTTGTTGCTTTCTATATTCAGTTGAAATAAATCAGTAGCAAATTTTAGAATGTAGTCTGTGGCAATATCTGTCTTACAGTAGCTGTAAGCTTTTTTCTTGGCTCATTGAGGCTTCAAATCTCAATGCTTCAAAATGACCATCTGAAAGAAAGTAAACTTGTAACAAATCTTCCTCAAAGTTGCCATACCCTGTTTTCATACTATTTAGCATGTGCATATCCTCTAACATTAAAACTTCTATGGGGACTGCATGGAATTTAAAAATTTCACAAGTGAATGTTTCTAAATGAAGTTGTTTCAGCTGCTAATATTATTGCTCATATAGAGGATTAATAAGAGGAAAGTCTGTGAGCATTCAACCCTTGCAGAAGAGTGCATCTTTTTAGACTGGCTTATTAATAGTATTGCTTAAAATGTATAGTGAAAAACAATGCAAGTCTAATTCAATTGTTTGAATCTTTTTACTAACCCATCTTTCTGTCAGTGATTGTTATTAATTCTGCCAGGGATACCATTCATTTTCTTTATTGTTTGTAACTGTATTACATGTATATTAATATGATGCCTAAAATCTTGTACTGATTCTTTGCTAAAAATCCTTGCTTGTTTTGTTGTTAACTGGCCATGCAGTAATATTCCTTCATAATGTCATAGGATTTGATCTGCTTTTGACATAAAGATCAGTTGAACACTTTTGAAGTTAATAGTTTTTCTAACAGTTTAACAGGTGGGAACTGTAGACTGTAGACTGACTAGCAAATGGCATGAATAACATTTTCTTGAATGAGGTCATTCTAAACTGTTAAAAAACAATATTGCAATTGTGTAAATACAACAAAGTAGTAAAGGCAGTCCAAGTTTTCAAGTCAGAACATTTGAAATGCAAATGAATGCTGTTGGAATTTTTGATGGTGCAAACCAGAGTGATATTAGCCAGTATATAGATGATATATTATTATAATAGTGATTTGCTGAAATGCTGATGTTTGTATTTTAACCAAAGACATTTCTACAAAATAGGTCAGTATTTCTTGTATATCAGTGAAAGCCGATGTGCCTTGCCAGAAGTAGAATCTTAACTCTATGTGATGTTGTATCATTAAACTCATGAATAGGTTGTACAAAGAATCAACCATACTGTTACAAAATTTACATGTACCAAGTGCCTACCATGTACCTGGGCTTTGACAATGGATCAGCTACCTTGTCTACACTGGACTCTAATCATTAGCTTTTATTGTTTAAATTCTTGTAGGTGCTTTTATATGCAATGAGAAGTACATCAATATCAGAGAACAACTGTAGGATGCCCCGACTATAAGTGAATGTAGGGGGCTTTTCATAACTGCTGCACATGCAAGGTGCTGTTATCAAAGGTTATAACAGTTGGAACTTCAACTTGGAGGAGAAGCTGAGACTGATGATTGTGTAACAAACTTGCATATCAAGGCTTCATGCACTTTTTTGAATATGTAAAACATACTTTAAGCTTGCACTATGTTTATTTTTTACCTTTTAATAATACGGTACCACAAGCCAATGCAACAAACACATCACTGCGTACAAATTATTACCATTCTCAAAAATCTTCAGTTTTGTGCATACTGTATCATGATATGAAATTAATTGTAATGTTGCTGTTGAATAAGAATTTGCTGCAGTGGTGGTACAGAAACAAAGACTCTGAGAATTGTCAATAGTTGAATGGTCTTATGCATGATTACATTAAACAGTCAACTGTGAAATGTTAATGTCATTTTTGTCATCGAGTTTTTGTCTTTATTAGTCATTAACATTGTAGTTTGTGGTCTCCTAACAAGAACCAAGGATTGAGATTGTGATGTCTCCAAGAATATTTGGTCAAGCACACTGGGTCACCAAGTGTGTTGGGTTCTTTAACATTACCGTCATAATGGTTCTTTATGATCTTGAGTAATAGGCTGTAGTAAGTGAGTTGAAGGTTTGTCATAACTTAGTAATAATCAACTATAATCAATGTGTGTGAAAAATGCTAGTATATGGCATATACATTTGAAACAAGTCACACAAACAACAACAAAAACATTTCATATTTTATTTCTTCCAGTTACTAACGTATGCCGTTATGTACTTCCTTTAATTTTCTTCCTCTTTGATAAAACAAACAGGAACAATAAGAACTGGGAAAGTCCATTTCCATCATCAAAGTGGAAGATTGAACAATATTAATCTTGTATCATTCTAGCAACAGGAACATTTTTAACATTTGGCTTACCACGATAAAACTTAACACAAAAGTACTTTTTAAAGTTCGTCTTAAAAGACGATATCTCTAAAATACAACTGTGAGATGTAAAGTAAATACAGATTCTGAAACAATGATATGATATCAAATATCTTATACATGTAAAATCCTGCATATTTTTGGCAATATGGAATTATGTGTGACCTCATTGTGGATTCCTGTAGACCAATGACATATAACATTAAATTTGTACTTATAATAAGTGGAATGATATAACCTTGATTATGATCATTGTTGTTTTTCTTTGCAACTTTGCTGGATTGATATTAATTAAAATGATATATTATTATTGGATATGCAATATTTACCTGTAATTTGATGATATTCCTGATAACAAAATATCCCGGTCCACAGGGATAGGTACAAATCTACAACATTCAGGCACATAACAGGGTGTTGGTTTTGTCAAACTTATCAACGACGTGAATTCTTGTGAAATATTATGAACATCATACATTTGAGGTGTGAAAATTCCTTCTAGGCATAGGGCACCGCGGATGCCCTTATAAGGCATTCACCATAAGATGGATTGTTTGTCAATGAAGCCACGATTGGATTTACACATACAAAGCTATTAGGACACTTTCACCAGAGTCCGTGTTTGTCAAATGCGTGGGTAACATACTGATTGAGTTGGGGCTATTCCATAATGTGTCTAGATGTGGGTAAATGCATTTTCTATCTAGAAAATTAGGAGCTTACTTTAAGTTTTACTTTGTAAGATAGAGCTAATTACCCTTTGGAACGAGCGGCAAGAAAAGGTAACAAAGAGATTGAGTCCCTCTCCCCTAGCGAAAGTCTAGCCAATGACTGATTCCGAAGTTGACAACTTAGAGCCACATAATACTGTTGTGTTTGAAGATCCCATAACTTTGTCCAATTTGTAAAGTGCTCAGTGTTGACTTTCTCCTTGTGATATCAGCGAATCGCTTTGCAGGCACGCAGTTTTGCGGGAGGAGGGGGGAGCAGAGATTTTTCTTGGCAGCAACAATGCATGGGCATCGCATGGGCGTCGTTCATGGATACGATGCCCTGGTGCCACATTGGGGCAGGTCACAAAACACTATAAGTCATAAGATTAGTATGTGCCGAAAAGAAATTAGGTACAATGTGAACCTCAACTATCTGCCGTGTGTTCTACTCTTAACAGAATATCGCATTTTTGACAGAGTATCCCCATCATGACTGGGCATTAACAAGACAGAGATCTACCATTTTATATATGAGATGCAGCTATTACGTACAATGGGAGTATTTGGATCAAAAACATCGAATAAGGCATAACCTACTGTCCAGGAACTATTAACGGGGTTGACCTATCAAAAGTAATCCGGCACTTTTTGTCCGTTATCCTTCCAAAAATTTCACCATAGACTACCCGAGGAAGTATATAAATCGCATAAAATGTCTTAATGTATGGTTCTCAAGTTACAATTTGGATGAAGGACGAAGATATTGTAACAGTTGTTCAGTGACGTGTTGCTATGGATAAGGCCATACTGATTTGATTACATGGATGACATCCTCTAGGCACACCATTAACTGATGCGAAGAAAAAAGTTGGGCCCAAAATGTCCATTACGAAATCTAAGTCGACAGGAAAGCTGAATAAATGACTGAACACACAGAGCATTGTGTGCCAAACAATGAATTCTATGTTTTGTTCTTTCATATCTTCTTCTTTGACTTTGGAAGACTTCTTCTTTGACTTTGGAAAATACTAGTAAACAAGTTCGCCAGAACATGTCAGACGAGGGCAGCAGAGCACTACGACATGCCAGTGTCATCACTAACGTGATGTTGGGTATTTAAGAGAAGAAGAAGACTTCGCTTAGGGATCGAAATACATATTTAGCCAAGACAGATACTTGCCATTTGTACTGGATACAAATGGCAAAAAATCGCAACTTACGCAATACATGTATATTTGCTGGCATTGCAGCTTCGTTTTGTACGATCAAGGACATATTGTATTAGGTAGGATTCACAGTATGGTGGCAACCTTTTTTCAATGAGGAAAAAAGAAGTAGCAATTGGCCAAAATAGACAGATAACATTCCAGGGGAACTGGTCCGCTAAAGAGTTTTTGCAAACTGTACTCCTTAGTGGACCAACTCCCTTGGCACGTCACTGACTATTTGGCTAATTCCTACTCGTCCCAGCCGCTTCCAAAGCCTGGTAGAGGCTAGATATCATCCATATAATCACGTCAGTGTGGCCTAACTCATATAAAACTGACGCACTGTTCCTCGTCGCACACGGGACACCTCTGCAGACCGTTCTCGTTGCAGGCGGTACAGTTGAGCGCGCGGAACATGTCCGTGAAGTTGTTCCTGTGCACGGACTTCCGACTGCCGTTACACACCGTGCAGGGGATGTACCTGTACCCGCCGCACCGGTCACACAGGGAGCGCACCGTGATTTTCTGTGGGAGGAAATGAAAAGGAAACAACGCAATCAGAGATGGCAGACTTCACCCCTTAATACCCATACTACTTTGCGACCCCTCCAGTCCCACCAAAAAGAAAATTGCAGCACAAATATGTATGGCAACAATGCTGCATTATATAGTTTGCTTCTTTCTTTTTCATGGGAGGATAATAAGTCAGACATAGTTAAGACCCTTAAGACTAAGGGTACAGCAAACGACCACTCCTCTTCATTCACTCCCCTTTCTTACAATGCTTCCGTTTCAAACTTCACCGATTCATGGCCCCTTAATTCTGTTTTCCAACCAATGTCAAAACATTAGGTCAAGTAAATTCACAGCAGTTTATATTTTCTGTTCAGACAAAATGAGGACCAAGGCATTTTTCACAGTGTACCCACCCTGGTGTCATACTACTAGTTTACACAGGCAGGTAGCCGCTAACACTTCCGTCTAAACATCGGTATTTGGCAATGATCAACTCTTCACTAGAGGACGGTTTACCGAAGGCGGGGTGGGTTTGACTACGTATATAATCTGTGCCCGTGTGTGAACCCAGCTAGACGAGCAACCCAAGCATTCTTTTTGAAACACTTCCAATTGAGGGAAATCCGGAATACTTACTTCGAATCGGCTCAAGAGTTTTCTGAGTTCCCCAGCTTCATTCAGTTGGTCTAATCTTTCCGCCCCCTGAAACATGAGGACAGAAAATGGTCATGAGTCCAGTCGGTCAACAACTGCTGTAGAACAACAATGATAACAATAACGGCAAGGGAAGGCAATATATATCTTTTTGCTAATTGATAAGTGCTACTACAAACTGATTATGATGTTTTAGACTGCACGATAAGACAAGATAATCTCCTAGTTACAAAATTCAGGATTGTCAGAACGGGTAGTGTTGTTGTTATCGAACATGAACGTTATCATTGCAGGTGTTTTTAAGTATACATTCCTGATGTTTTAAGGACCTGTCACACCTCACCTAACCTTTGCACATCTGAGTGTAGCAGCTTTGGAAAGCAATCTAGTGATATCGATGATGCCCCTACTAGTACTATACTTGGTGGCAGCGAGTTCCACTCTGCGATTTTTCTAGAAAAAACACCATTACACAACTATCCATGACAACACCCACACCCACCCCAGAGTGGCACCATCAGCCTAGCCCTTTGCATGGGGCAAGGTTCCCTCGGTAACTAAACAACACGGCAGATAAGGCAGTGTCAGGTCAGACCATGTCATTATCACATCACGTGTTCATCACGCACGTAAACCTTGAACTTTGAGAGCCGAGAGGCCGACATTGTGTGTCTTACTTCTGGCATGGAGAGCAAATACACCTGAGTAACCTGAGTTAGTGGCGTCAAAGTGGATAGGCTAGCGTACACAAAAACCTTTGCACGACTTTCCTCACTCCACCCAGGTGTAAAATAGATACCTGACTTCGGTTGGTGAGGTAAAAGGCGACGGAAGGAGAGCGATGGGCCCCGCCTACCAATATCATATACTAGACACAGACAATTACGAGTCAACCAATTGCCCCTACGGCCTCGGCATCAAAAAGGCTATGGGACTACTGTACCTTTACTTTTACCTTAACCCGAGTTAGCAATACATTACAGATAGCCCCCGGGGTTCCCATACAGGTAGGATCAAGTTGATGGGTATTTCATCACCCGGATGCTGACACCTGTGTCCTGGACACGTTAGGTATTACTATTACCGGCTGGGTCAGTCGTGAATTATTTATTGCATTTCCTTTGGGGTAATCAAAATAAAAGGTTTCACAAAGATGTCGGGCATTCTTTCCTCGCGTATCTCTTTAACCTATTATCTCTCTTGGTTTATTACTTTCCCTGGTTGCATAACTCAGGTTATAATATCCTGTTTGGACGACACACCTGTAAGCTCCGGAAGTTGCGAGGACGTCATTTCCGACGAACGCCTATTTTTTACCTGACCTTTGTTCCATCATTACTGCCTACAGGTAGTTTTATGGGCCTACGTGATGGTATGTGTTGTTAGTTCCAAATGTTTACTTTCCTTGTGACATGTTTACAGTCGAGTGTCTATAAAAATGCCACAACGTTGTTTCACTTTTTTCACAGAACACATTGTCAAATATATCAACCAGTATAAGATACATAGTTTATACCCTGGAATGATTATCACTATGATATTGAGTATTTCTTGACAGAAAACTATGGCACTTTCTAACAGTCATAAATCTCATACTAAGTACATTAAAGTGAAAGCCTAGGTGAAACATACTAGTACTTAGGCAATATTTCAGGTTGAAAAACAGAAGGTATGTCTGTAACTGTGTCTGTTTTGGATAACCGTGATACTCTACGAGTGACCCACGGGACAAACATTTCCCTGTCTTTCTACATTTACTGTAGTAGAAAGATGTTTGACTATGCCTCTAGATTGTGCCTGAGGTTGTTTAAAAAAACGCATATGGCACGCGTGTTACATCGCGTGTTTGCAATATCCAATCAATGTCTGGAAAGGCGGCGCAAACATAGTGAATAACAACAGAGGTTTTTTCTGGTTTTAGCAGTATCTTGAGTCAAGAGGAAATTTATGACTGACAACAGCCCCGACCACAGACAGCCATGTCGGTTAGTTGTCAGGAGAATCTCTCGTATTTCCTCTGACGTCAGAAAGGTGTACTCTAACCAGTGTCGCACGCGAAACCGTCTGTTGTAATTTTCCGTGGCAGGGCTGCATGGCTCTGATTTATTCTTACAGTCTAGCGTAATAGGTCTGTGTGCACCTGCAGGTATATTACTAGTATGTAAAACATGCACACGTCGGAATTTAGCGTTATGCGGACAATAACCGACAATGCTTTACTGGGGAATGTCCTTTTCGATAAAATCTCGGACAAAGATTTAGGCTTTACAGTAAACATTGGTGATCAAGTGGTCTACCTACATGTAAGCTGTTTTCCGCCATTGCTGCATGCATAATGTGACAAAATTCTACACAGATCACTAAATGTGAGAATTTCTCATTTGATCAAATGAGTCTACTGTCTCCAAGACATGTTTGTGAGATTTAAAAAGTTAACAACACTGACAGATACTGAAATCCTTTTGTTTTTTCTAGCAGCCATATGACGTCATTCAGTCTATGTTCCTTGTTTTCCCCATACCATGTTTTTATATTACTGCCATGCACGTTGACGTTGTTAAACAAACGATGTTATGACATAAACCAAGGCGAGGTCCGTGCAGGTATGTTAGGGTAATCCCTCGCGTGAGCGCACAATGATATTTACTACACACTTCCCAATGATGGATGTATTCTGCATGTTGCGGATGACAAGTCGAACAATGGCGGTGTACTATCTGTCTTTCAGGGACGAAAATGTCTTCAGAAGAGACGCAACATCTCCGGGATATATATACAGTTTCTTTGTAAGCTCCCACATGTACTGTAGGCCGAAATCAGTTGCATGTACTTCAAATCTCATGAGGACGAGCAACTGTTTTTGTTCTTAAACGGTCATCTCGCTTTCACCGCTTTGAAAGATGGTGATAAATTATGAATTAGGTACAGGATTTGTAAAGGCTTTGACCAGCTTAGGGGATGCTATTTATTTTCTTCCTGGCGTGCATGTATTTTTGAAGTTCTAACGAGAGTGGTGCAGGTCGGTACGGTTTGTTGTAGCCTCCTAATTTGTTGGATCGGTCAATAGTAGACTAGTCCGGGCCTGGTAGTTGATAAGATACGACTTACGCTATCTTCTGGGTCGCCGTTGTCCCAATTATCTGACCACAACTGCGTTTAATAAGCACAGGTCGTTGCTAAGAAAACATCGATGGGCAGAAGACTATAGATTGTAGTCAACCAAGACATTGTATGTAACCAAGAAAGTTCGAGATGATTGTTTTAGGCTTTGGTTTTTCAACTCCAATCTGTTGCCTAGTTACAGGAAAGCAGAAGTAAAAACAACATCTGCCGGAAATGCATAAACAATACATGCGTAGAAAAGGAATTCAGACAATCACGAGATATTTCGTCCCGTTACTGGACTATGGGGGAACACCTGATCTTCTGTCTGCAAGGGGGTTGGCGCGATTAAAAACGACGTCAGCATTCCCAGTCTATGATATAACATTTCTCAGAAATCGTCTCCATTTCAAGGTATGAATATCAGTATCAATATGCACCTGTCTTGGACATGCTGTTACTGGTTGAATATGCCCCTATTCACACAGCCTGCTTGGATTTTGTAGTAAAAATTGAACGTGTAAGTAGATATATGTATTCATCTTGAAATCATTTCCCTCCTTCCTTCTCTCCCTAACGTCTTCCCTCTTTCCTCCCATCTCTCTCTAACTCCTTCCCTCATCCCTGCCTCCCTCTACCTTCTTTCATTCTTTCCCCCTTCTCTCTCAATCCTTCCCTCTTTCCTGTCTTCCTTCCCTTCTTCCTCCTTCCCTCCTTCCCTCCTTCCTTCCTTCTCTGCTTCCTTCCCTCCCTCTACCCCATGCTCGTACTCACCCCTATCGGCTGCCCGTCTATGAACACCTGTGGTAAGGTCAGCGCCTCCTCGGTCTGTCCCAGCCTCGCCCTCAGTTCTCTCTGCAGTTCCAAGTTCATAACAACGTCCCTTTCCTCGAAGCGAACTCTGTGACTCTCCAGTATTCTCCTGATCTTTTGGCACTTCTCGGCGGTGTCCCTGACGACTTGCATGCTGGTGGTATAAACAATGATCCTCCCCCTCTCATGGCTGCACGCCTTCTGTAAGTGAGAATTCGGCTGTAGGATGGTCCACAAAGTCCACGGGTCGTACGTAGAACGAAGGAGAAACAACAAAAAAGAGAAAAACAAAACGTGAACTTCAACTCAACAAAGGAACAAGAATCACACACCAAATAAAAAGACACATGTATATATATATCTGAAAGCACATAATGTACAATGACAATGACAAAATAACACGAAATAGTAGTGTACGTAGGTCAAACTTGAGAATATGAATAAGATACGAAAAGCACGTACATCGTATATTGCGCAACAGCTGATGACCTTTGTCGTAAAGAAATAAATTCACATCATCCATAAAGGTACCATTTGTGTTCTGTTTTTCTACTTAAAACTTTTAAGGGCTGACCTACACAATAGTGAGTGACTTACGTGTTCGATTCTGGTGCAGAAAACGTTTGTGTGGGCATGTGTACACACCTATTGTTTTCTGACACGTTTTGTTATGATAGTGGAAACAGTGTTTGGCGTTCTTGAATCTACTTGACATTTCTTCCACGAAGTATCGTGACTGAGCTTGGTTTTACATTGCCAATACACAAACAAACCAGTTGATTGTGTCTTTCTATGTCTTTGACACTGTATGATATTGCTTATGCACGTATGAAAGTGGAAATTGCTTGTTAATCTTGGCTGCTTATGATTTCTCCTACATGACAAAGGTTCCTCGGAAATCTTAAGAAAGTAAACAAGAGTTTGTGTCATAGAACGTCCACATTCAGCAGTTGTTCTTCCTTTCTTTGCGGAACAGTTCCTGCTGATGCGCTTCGGTCTGATTGAACTGTTGTATAAGGAACTGACACGGTGTGTGGCGTACAGTACAGTTGAACATGCCGGGATTCAGTCAGGCATGGCCGGGGTACATTCGGGAAGGTTACGGGCATTGTAACGGGTTTTCGGTACGAGGACTTTGACCACTAACTTAGGGCGTGTCACCGCAATCTAGTGACGCAACTTGCAAAGTCATAAACACACCTATTTTTTTACTTATTGGTGACCTTAATCTTTTTCTAATCATAATCTTTGAGTAGGAGAAAGGACCGAATAAGAATGTATTTGATTTTGAATAGTCTGGTCCGTAGTAATTTCACTTCCATTGTGTTGTGATTACGTAATTACTTGGGCTTTTTTGTGTTCTGTAACTTCCTTATGCGTGTTTTTCTTTAGTTGAATATTTGTGGGCTAGCTCTAGATTCGCATCTTCAAAACGTTTACTGAAATGACACATTTCTCACATGAAATAACGGAAAACTTGTGCTCTGGGGAGTATTTTAACCGCTAGATAACTATTGAAAAGTTGTATGGTTACCTGCGCTCCTTGTGTGAGGGAAGTGAAGTGCGCCAGCCCCGCCCGTACCCTGTTCTTCACCCCCCGTACCGTCCCGTTCCTGCTCACAATCTCCGTGTCCTCCACCCCGCCCGAATAGTCTCTCTTCCCGACATAACTCAAGAGTCTGTTCTCGTCCTCCCCTTCTCCTTCCTCCTGTGATGTCTGCGTGACGTAGTAGGTCCAGCCGGCAGGTGAGGCGGCGGCAGGTGAGAGGTGGAGCCGGGAGTTCCGGGGATGGTCTCCCGGTACGTCTCCGTTAGTCTGTACGGTACCCGGCGGGTCCGACTGGCAATATTCCCCCGTGTCCGGCTGTAGGCTGTAGTGGTGGTCTCCGCCGTTCACGTAATGATTTTTGGGCTCCTTGTCTTTCTTCTCGGCACCGCTCCCGCCCCATTTGAAGCGTAGCTTGTTCATGCTGTGTTTATGTGGCGGTGTTCTCGCTGGTGTACTGAGTGGTTGGTGGTGCGGCCCAGACAATCGCTTGTACAAACCCGTTCCGATCATGTTTAAATATTACGACCCCTTAACGGGAGGAAAGAATAGTGGACCTAGCATCAGACGCGCTACGAATACAGCATTTTAAAGGACATATTCGTCATTTAAGTTTCCTTTTAGATAGTTCAACGTATACAATTATAAGATTAAGAGCCATAGGTTGATTACTTCATTGTCTGTTGAAATTATGCACATTTTAACAAATATCTATAACTGCGCTGCAGGTAAATTAATGACCTTTCCTGTCAGTTGGTTTCTTTAAATATTCATGAGGCAATATTGATCATGAAAACAGCAGTCTGTGTCCTCGACACGATTATCAAAGCAAAACGCGTAGCATGCAGGCAACTCCTGTAGATCAAACAATCGCATTCTCTACCGTATATATCATACATAACACAAACAGATATTCTTTATTATGTCAGAAGGCGTAGTATACAAACATCAGTGGCGACGTGTTAGCAGCCAGTGTTTACTGTAGGCGTGTGGGTGACCTCAGGAGAGTAAAGGTAAAAGTTCTCTGGAGCCAGGGGTACTAGACGCTGCACCACGACTGCAAAAACTCCTTGTCGGGCTACAAAACTGAACTGTTATTCGTGGTAGACAGTGCTTGCCTTTTGATTTCAAACAGAAACCCTGCTTTTACTTGAATCGTGATAACTGTTAACCACGTCTTCATTACCTCCATGAAAAATGGAGGTATTGTTTTTGGCGGCGTCTGTCTGTGTGTCTGTGTGTGTGTGTGTGTGTCTGTGTGTGTGTGTGTCTGTGTGTCTGTGTGTGTTTCCGCAACTTTGTAGTCAGCATAACTTCATAACGCCTTTATGGATTGTGATGATATTTGGTATGCTGATAAGTCTTAGGAAGACAAAGGTCAAGGTCAAATATGGGTCTCCTGGTGGATGACCTTGGTACTGCAGCAGAACTTCCGGTTTTTGTATCTTTGGTCCTGAACATGCTATGGTCTTGAATTTTTGGTGACAGATAGCTTTTCCTGTCAGGAATAAGTGGTGTGGGTTTGGTCCCCCTAGCAGCTTGTTCAGGAACTGCAGGGGACTTTCGGGCGAAATCTTTGAAAGCCAATAAGTCCAGAT